GGGATTGCATCTGAAATTCTGTATGATTTAAAAATGCTTCTTTCAAGACAATTTCCTCTGTAGCTAATGCTCTTTTCTCTCTGAAAAGCATATATAAATTGTTTCCTAACTTCTTACAGGGAAGACCAAGGGCAAAAGTATCATGGCAGAAAAATGGTTCTCCAATAGACAAGAACCAAATCAACATCCGCAACACTGAGAACGACACCATTATTTTTATCCGAAAGGCAGAAAGGAGCCACTCTGGAGAATATGACATGAAAGTGGAAGTAGAAAATTTGGTGGATAAAGCTACAATAGATATTCAAATTGTTGGTATGTTTTGAGAAACAGAAGCATATGCATGCCAGAGAAGACGACTCCAGCCATTCCAAGCTTATAGCTGTAAAAACAGAGGAATCTTTTCTCTACATCCAACTACTCGGCTATAGATTTGTAGTCTCTAAGTAAACCTTCCTACACAATGGCGTGAGCTTGTCTGAACATGCCAGTCTCTTTTTTTTCAGTTTTCTTTTTCATGTTCTTGTTTATTTAGGATGCAAGCCTTTTCCTTTTGACTGGTATCCATAAATGGTTTCATAGTAAGTTTGTCATAAATGTAACATGGAAGAAATTCTAAATTGGAAGTACATGAAAGCAGGAAAGAAAGATGAGAAACAAACATTTACTTACAATTTTTACCAACATATTTATTTACATAGTATGCATAATAATGATTGACATTTCCTGTCTTAAGAACAAATTTACAACTATCAGGTTTTCAAAATGTCATGCCTATCTGCAACTGAAGAGCGTATGTACCTTATAAACCATATTCACAAAGTGACCCAGATAGGATTTTCATGATTCTGGCATGGGTTAACTGTTGAAAGTGTTATTTTGCAGCCTCAGCGTTCTTTGGACATTGAGTTTGGCATATGCATGTGTAAGAAAGAGACAAAGTAAAAGAAGTGGAATGTATATATAGAAAAGAGACAAAAGAGAAAGTGGAAGATGTGTGTAGGAAAGAGAAAGAACAGAAATATTATGAAAAATGATGACTGCCATATTTTCATTACAGATCGCCCAGGCCCACCAGAGGTTGTAACTATTGAGGACGTCTGGGGAGAGAATGTAAATTTATCATGGAAGCCACCAAAAGATGATGGCAATGCTGCCATTACTGGGTACACTATTCAAAAAGCAGATAAGAAGAGTATGGTAAGTAACAAGATGCTTAAAAGACTGATGTATTCACAAAGCTCTTCTTTTTAAAAATATAAAGCTTTATAATAATTAATGAAGGAGGATAAAGCACTGACTGGTTAATTTTTATGAAAATCTACAAGATATTTCTAAACATTCTAAGGATTTTCTGACTCTAAAAACCTTTGACATGAAACGGCAATAACAAGCAAGATATTTTTTATCATTGTCATTAAACTAACATGAAATGTAAACTTCCTTAAAAGACAGCAGTTGGATTCTTACATTTAATACTTACTGCGAATTAAAACACTGGAAAACTGGGACAGTATTTTGGGTGCTGCGTTATCTAAAGCAATCCTTTTGCCCACTACCTAGAAAACTAAGTAAGTTGACCTGCTTCATGCTCTGATCAATTCATTCCTCCTGTGGATCTATTTCCCTTCCCATTCTTCAATTTTAATCTGCCTTCAGATTGCAAGAGATCTTCTTCCAGATGAAGAAATGTTTCCTGTCTTTGAGTTACTGTCAGAGGAAGAAAGCAACAACAGCAGTGTCTAGGGCTCAGAGTGTCATGGGTCATTCAGGTCATAAGTTCCTCCATGTGGAGGATGAATTTTGCGGTGATGAATTTTGCAATTCTGGCATAGCTGTCATTCCACAGCAAATCATTTTGCCAAAAGACAGCTCCTTAGCAATAGGTCCTCAGAGGAGTACAGAAAATGCCACAGGTTACATGGGATGGCAGTCCATCAATTTCTGAGAAATCTAAAATAAACTGACTTTTGAAGACAATCAAATACCAATCAAATCAAATACCAAGGCACTGGAAGCTCAGCAAGAGTGTGTTAAAAAAAAAAGAAAAAACTGTGCAAGGCAGAGTCAGGAAAAGCAAAAACATTGTTGTCATACTTTACTTAATGTTAATTCTATTTTAGCATAAACCTTTTTTTTAATCTTAGTTTGCTATGTAGGTGTTACATACTAGGATATAGTTTACTTGTCCTATTACGGCTTGAAGACCAAAGTGCTAAAATCCTTCTCTCCACCTGAGTCTTTAAATATTTCTTTTGCTCCAGAAAGATCACCTGGTTGAATGTATGTTCTTCACAAACATTCAACCCATGGAAGAGGGGGTACATTAATGCATTGGCTGCTCGTGAGTATGTGTCACAGCCCAGGGCTTTGTTTTTCTCTCCAGTCTGCAGTTTTCTTATCTGCAGTGGTTCTTGTTCAGTCAGCAGTGTAGAAGCCTACCTCACCTCACAAGGAATAAACTTTGTAATGCTCAATTTCCCAAACAGAAATCTTTGGGCTAACAGAGTGTAACCATTCAATAGGAGCCACTTTCCATTCAGCCTTCACATCTCAGTAGTGAACTCTGCGTATGCTCATTATCACTCATGTCAGATGGAATAATTAATTACTGTTTACTTCAGCACATTACTCTTCATCAACACTTCTTTAAAAGAAAACTGTACTATCCCCGGGTCAGTGATTCTTCCAAGCAACATACGTGTGAAAGCTGCACTGTGCTGCAGGAAGCTTAGCCTCTGTGTTTGTATGTTTCAGGAATGGTTCACGGTAATCGAGCACTACCACCGCACCAGTGCCACCATTAATGAGCTCGTCATAGGAAACGAGTACTACTTCCGAGTCTTCTCTGAAAACATGTGCGGCCTCAGTGAGGATGCAACAATGACCAAAGAGAGTGCCTTGATTGCAAAAGATGGTTAGCTAATTAGCTTTTCCTTATCGAAAGGGATGGGGTGTGCATGGAGTCTGGAAGGTGATTAGACGTAAAAGCCATAGATGAGGCACAGGAGATAGCTAGGACATTTCACATTAGGACTTTGTTGTTTGTCTACGTAGCTTATAAGTTTTTCTATGGAGTAGGACATTTTTTCCATGTTCTGTCACTTACTGTGGTCTTGGATATCACACTCATGTGACACCACTGGCAGATGTAAGTCAACAAGAGTTGGAAGAGGAGCAAAGCGGTTCTGTTAAGAGCCGTGAGCCGTGGCCTCTCCATGGAGACTCAGCTCCAGCTATGCAAGTGCTGCAGTACGTTTCAGGGCCAAGCCAACAAATAAGCTTAACCTCTTGCTTCACCTCTCTAGCATGTGAACCTGGACAAACAGAATCTCTGCTATCAAAAGTTCTGATATTTCAGAAACTGTCAGCTAAAAAAAGCAATGTAAACCTGAAAAAATAAGTGTCTCTTTATGGAAGGAAAATTCCACAGATTGATAATTTAGCTGAAGAAAATCGAAGTTGGTTGGTTGTGTTTTTCTGAAAGGAAGGAATACATGACTGCCATGATATAGAGCATAGACAATCTGTGCAACTCACATGGACAGGCTGAAAGACTGGAAGTCAGGGATAAATGGAATACACTTCCACTATTAAAAAGAAAAATGTGTTTCTGTTAGAAACAGGATCACAAATGAAAACAGAGCTATAGGAATTGCTTTTCATCACTGCTTACTCAACTCTGTCATGAAAGTAAATGTCAGGCCTAAGCTTCACTGTAGCCAGTACAGCAGATTGGAAAAGGTTTCAACAAAGATATCTGGTGAAGCCTGGGCACAGGGAAAGATGTCAGTCTGTCCAGCTGTCTTTATTTAGTACACCATCTACTCACAAGACAAAGAGAAGCTCTCAGAACTCTATATCAAAACCAAGGGCAATAGTCAATTCCCAAATCCCCTTCCAGCCTCTCTAACGATTGAAATTACTACACCAGACTGATTCCTAAGTGAGCACAGGTCAGAATAGATGCAGAGTCTCTGTAACATTTCAAGATGTTTGGGTATTTAGTTATACTGCAACACTAGTCTTTATTAATGCATTGTTTTCATTTTATAGGTAAAGTCTACAAATACCCAGTTTACGACGACTTTGACTTCACTGAACGACCACTGTTTACTCAGCCTCTAGTTAACACGTTTGCTGTAGCTGGTTACAATGCTACTTTGAACTGCAGCGTTCGGGGCAACCCCAAGGTACAGCACAGCAGTGTCAGTTAACACATGAGAAACTTTAACCCAAAAACAAAAACTGTAATACAATTTTTATTATACAAAGCTGGCTGAAGAAAAGGAGTATCTTCCAATTTGAGTTACATATTAATGAGATTTATTTCCTGCAATGAAAATCCAATCTAGTAAAATGGGAACTCCAGAGAGTTTAAGAATATGTTCACTTTCCAACAGTTGTGGCTGTTCTTTCTGAAAATCACTTTTAAAAACATGCTTTCTATTCTCATTCAGAATAACAGGATATCAAAAGATAAAGCTGAGGCGTCTGCTGTTATTATACAACATCTTACACTGATAAGTTTATTTTTATGACTTTAATTACATGATAGGAACTGCACTGAACAACTCAGAAACAGGGGCATGATGTAGCCTATGCCTATGTTTAGTTAATGGTTAGCTTCCTTTCTATCTCTATTTTATCTGCTTTGTACCATTTCTGAATTACTCAGCATTAACAGAGCATTATGAGCAGTGGTAAAACATTTCCATTTGTAGGTTTTTGCATGTAGGTTTTCTTTTGTTTCTACCACAGCCCAAAATAACCTGGCTGAAAAACAAGGTTGCTATACTGAATGACCCAAGGTACCGAATGTTCGGCAACCAAGGTGTCTGCACCTTGGAGATCCGCAAACCCAGTCCATATGATGGAGGCACTTACACTTGCAGAGCTGTCAATGAACTTGGAGAGGCAGAAGTTGATTGCAAACTGGAAGTAAAAGGTAAGGGTTTTAATTCATTGCAAATGCACTGCTCATCTGAACACCATTTACACAGGAGACAAAAGTAAGGAAGGCAAAAGCAAAAGGGTTTTTAGCTTTTTTAGGTTTTTTTTTTTTGCTTATGTTAGCAAAATCACAGAGCAACACAAGAACTGTTGCCAAGAACACAAGCTAGCTGATATAACTGATGATTTTTTTTTAGGAGCAAAATATTTGAAATGTTATTTTGCAAATACAGGGGAAGAGGAGAAGCATTTTAGCATTGACTGGGGCACCAAGAATGACAAGAGGATTTGGATTGGACTACTAGTTAATTTTTCTGAAAATTGTACTTTCAGAAAATTACTCCCCGGCAACAGATGTGGTCATATTTAACTGTATTAACTTTCACCAAAGGCTTTTGCTTCAACCATGAAATAAGCATTTCTGAAAAAATGAATGTGAAGTTGTAAGTAAGGAAAGCTGCCTACACAGAGCCAATAGGAAGTGTTTAAGTCAGGAGTGTAGAGGGAATTTAGGCTATCAAAATATGGTCCTAATTTTATTACTTCTATCATGCTTGCCTATAAAAAAAACTATACTGTTTAATATCCTCAAGCATTGTATTGTGTTGATTTTAGATTTCAATTTCCTTTGTCTGTGTTTTCTGGTGCATCTTGTCCTACAGCTCAAATCTGCTAGCAAGAAGCCACTGCAATAAATATTTAGCCTACGAACCTGAACTTTAATTAGTATAATGAAAGTATGCATAATATCACATTTCTTAACTGTCATGATTTATTTTTATGTTGTTGTTTAAAAGGTAATGTCCTTGAACTGGATATATGAATCTTTTCCATAATCACAAGAAAATTTTCTATTTCACAGCACAGCAGAAGACCTCATCATCTGGGAAGGTTGCTTCATTTTTCATACTCATATATATTCATCTATGTTTTTATACAGCAGGCAAAGTCCAAGTTAATTTGCTATTCCATCAAACTTTCTAAGTCCCCAGGACTTCATGTTCTTAAAAAAGATAAAAATCACCTTTGATCAATACTGACAGAAATTTAATTGTTTACAATTGCATGTTTATGTACTGCTATCTGAAATAGGCTGGAAATGGTTGGATAATTTTCCAATCAAATAAAAGTAATTTATCTAGGGAGAAAAAAAGTTACAGTTCTGTTCACTAAAGTGGTTACTAGGTACACGTGATATTATGTCCTTGAGGATCTTTGCTGAGAAATATCTATCTACTGTTCCTATGTCCAGTTTCCTGACTAATGTCCTGAAATGAGAGCACACAATCCATTATGTTTGAATGCTTCCAGGTCTTTCCCAGCTACAGCTGACTCTTTCCACAATGGTTGAATTAAAGATTGTATAAAAATACATATATTTATGTATCTTGCTACATGGCAACTTATGCTTAGGATAGATAACACTGAGAATAGTGAAGAACTAGAACAGCAGAGGTTGTAGAGCCTTTGGTACCATGAGACTTTTAGAGGAATGACAACAGTAAAATTTATTGTTGGGTTACGGTATGCACTAAATGATGTCTCAAGATTGCTTCTAGCTCTGTGATTTTAAATCACTTCCTAACATTGCCAACAAACAAAAACCTCAGTCAAATTCAAGCATCGCTCTGATCATCCATCTCAAAGGAAATCTCAGATAGAGATTGGGCTTGGGGCATCATGTCCTGAGGACTGTAGTCATCAACATACTAGCTGGTTGCAGCACATCCTGCAGCCTCACTTGCTCTCATGCCCTATCTTGGGATTGTAACTGAACCCATCCACATTGGGTCCAACAGTTGCTAAGCGAGAATGAGAATGTAATTCTCTCTGTAGACAAAGTTCAGACTATCCTTCTCATTTTTTTTAATAAACCCTCCCACATCCATTGACTGGAACGTCTGTAGCACAGACACTTCTAGATTCATAAATACCTTTATTTTTTTTCTCAAATAAATAATATTTTCTTTAAAAGATCAACTGAAAAAGTATAATACTACTCCACAGACATCTTACTCAGAACATCTGATTGTTCTACAGTGTTGTGAGTTTGCATCACACCTGAAAGAAATCCCGAAAAATGCAGTTCATTAAGCATCCCATCTGGGCTGCATGCTGTTTCTTTCCCTTAGCTATGTGACAGATTCCTTCATTATCACAAAGCTCCTAATTATGGCATGCTTCAGAGCCCAATCTCATACCATCATCTGGTGCAGCCCCACTCCTTCCTACCACGCCTGCTTGATCTGTGTTTCCTTCCCAGCACTGTGGGCTGTGAGTCCTTGCCCTCATTGAGACCGCCCTCTGCATCCTGGCAGGTCTGTTGGCCACTGTTTGAAGTCTCCTGAATTCAGTCCGTAGGGTTTAGACACCAGACATCTGTTGCAAGGATTCAGTGCTAATGCTCTTAACATGACTGGCAGTTCAACTGATGAATTCAAAGGAAATAGGATTAAGCAAAGACAGAAGCTGTAGCTTGACAAACCAGCATAGGCCTGGGGTTTGCTATATGACACAGACAAATTCAACAAGTATTAAATGAACATAAAAACATAATTGAACCTTATTTCAACCTTCTGTCGACGTATGTGTTGAACTCACATTCTTTAAGTTTCCCAGCTTGTCTGTTCATTTAATAGGGTTCTTCAGATGACTGCACTTCAAAATGACACACAGAATTATGGAGTCTGAATTGCTAGAAAAGGATTGCAGTGTGTTTGGATATGCGTGTGCGCATGTGTGTATTTATGTGTCTTTAAACTGGTGTGACTGTAGTCAAGAAAATAATGATCGGGGTATGAATCTGTAATGTTGAGATGCAGTTGAATATTGCCTGACCACGACCAACAGGCTCTAGGCAATGCTCTGTGTCTGGTGAATGTATGAGCTACAGTTGTATTACTGCAGACATTAGCATGGTAAGTCATGCTTACGAGCACTGTTCCATGCAGAAGTAGATATTACAATAATTGCATTTTCTTCATAATGGAGAAAAGAATCTCTAGCCAACTATGTCTGGCATGCCGGAAATCTGAAGATTATCATACGTGTATACATGCTCAATTTGAGGAATGCCATGGAAAAATTACAGACAGAACAGTCTAGGATTCAGTTTTACATGGTGTTTGAACAACAGAACAGCCATGAATGCTATTGTTGGACCAGATAGTCTTAGTGGTCTTTTCTAACCTTAGTGATTCCATGACTCATGATTCTATGAATACTCTGACTATGAATGTTATCAATATGCTACAATTTTCTACTTTTCTAGCCAGTTACAGTACTTCAGGTGACAAATCTAAATTCCTACTTGCTACTAAATTTATTGTTCATTTTCTGAAAAAGTACTAATGCTAATTATGACAATTAAGAGCACCAATAAGTAAAAATAATAAATCTTTATTTATTTAAAATAAAGAATTTATTTTAAAAGAAGAATTTTAAAAAGAAAATTAAAAAGAAGATTTAAAAGAATCTTTAAAAGAAGATTTTGTGTTTGCTGATGTTACTTGAGAGAGACATTGCTTCACTCGTCTGTTTTCAGTTTTGCTGAGTGAACTTAAAGAAGGCTGCTCAGAGAGCTGCTCCACATGCTTGCATATCCAATTTTTTTTTATAGATATAACTGTGATGAAAAAGATCACGTAATAAACAAGAATACCTCTATTTTGAAAGATGATGCATGCACAGAATCTCATGATATATTTTTCATACTATTTTACTAAGGAAAATTTAAAAAAATCAACAAATTTGTATTCTAAATACATTGAGGTAGATCCTTAAATGTGGCTTTAAATCTCTGTTTATGTAAGGAAATGATTTTGTATCAGCTTCACTGAGGTCAAGGAAAAAAAATCAGATAGAGCACTGCACTTCTTTTCATCATGAAATGTGTTTTTAGATTACGTTTGTCTTAAGAATGAACTGAAGATCGGTGGTCATTCTGGTCAATTGATGGTAACAAAGATGCTGTGTGAAAAAATATAATAAAAATATGGTGTTAAAATCGACTTGGAAGAATTTCAAATGCGAATAAATACCACTATAAATATTCTAATTCTGCAGTGATATATCAAGGAGTAATTAATCCAGGAGAACCAATCTTCATGGCGGGGAATAAGCAGGTTTATAATGAGTATAATCCTCTGGCCATTCCATTTCATTCCCTTCCTCTCTTTTCACACTGAAACGCATTTTCTGCATGCAAAGTGTGTATTTATTTGCTTTCTTTAGATTAAACTAGCTGGTGTCTCATGGCATACTAAGTCTATGCCACATGAGCAAAGAAGGCCAAATTAATCAAGAATATAGGAATTTAACAGCAGAATTACAAAAGTTTTAGCTATGGTTCTGCTATGTCACTGAGAATAAAGTTACTTGCATATATGAAGAATTAATTTAGTAACTGTGCCTCCTATTGCCGGAACACTGACTTTTCCAGGAGACAGAATTTTGTATCTCAGCACCTGGCTCTGGGTCAGTTTGCAGAATTACTGAAATAACAGAAGCATCATGAAGTCATTTGCTGTGCTTAAAATACATTCTTTATCACAGATTAGTTTTTTATTACAGATAGCGCCCTGAATGATAATCTGTGCCTGAATTTGCACAACAGGATCTAGGGATAAAATCCTGATCCAATTGAAATTGGCTGAAATTTTATACTTTCAGTAACGTGAAATTTTGTTGCATTTACAGCTTATTTTAAATGTAGATTCATTGGAATTACAGTGGCAAAGAATGTGGCCCTTTCCATAGAAATGTGTTTCCTTGCATCCTTGCCCAAGTCCAGAATACCAGCAGAGCAATTTTAAGATGCCCAGAAAGCAGTTTCCAGTATTTTATACATCCAAATGTATTATTTCAAAACTAAAACAAGTTAAGAAATCAGGCTATACAATGTTCCTGTAGCATTTGCAGTATTAAGGTATTTTTCTAAAATGGCTGTGAAAGGTACAAATTTGAGTGCTTTTATAGGGACATAAATACAGACATATAGTCAAAATGTTGCATTAAAGGTAAGGGCTCCTATAGAGCCAATGGCATGCTGTAATTAATGTAAATGTGGATATGTGACAAAGTACATACTTTAGTTCACAGGTACGTAATTAGTCTGTACTTGATTATTTTGCCTTATAGAGTTTCGACATATATATATATGTTTCAGTGTTACGTGTGTGCTTTTTTTCCCTGGTGGAAAATACAATATATATATATGTGTTAGCTTCTTTGAAGCTACGTTTGGAAACTTTTACAATACATATCAGTTGCATAATTTGGTTCCAGTCTATACCGTAGACTAATTACAGAATTTATAGTTAATTGTACTTATTAATATAGCTTTTACACATTACTGATAATTTTGAAGTGGAACTGGATCCCCGCCTTTTACTCTCCATGTGTTTTTATTCCCATATATTTTACAAGACTAAGGATTAAAACATCATCTTGAAATAATTGTTAGCATAATTTCACTCAACATTTTCTCTCTACTTTTGTGTTTGCATTAAATTGTTACTTCTCTTTCTCTCTCTCCCTTAGTTACAGAATAAGGATTTTTGAATGTATATTGTCATCTAAGGTAAGCTTTCATATGATACTTGCATATGAAGCTTATGTCTGTTTACACGTCATACAACGTCTGCCTAGTATGGCATGATTTTCATTATTTTTCTTAATGAAAATGGTTTTTGAAATGAGTAGTATGATAGTCTCAATGCCTGTAAAACTTGATTTTTAGAATAATTGCTTGTTACAGTAAACCCTGGTAGTACCACCTCTCACTGTTCTCTAATAGTGCATGTTTCAGTGGAATTTACCACAAGCATGACATAGCACAAATAATAAGCATGAATAAAACACATTTTGCATTTACAGTCAGTTATTTTCACATAGGAATATGCCTCTACATAAATGAAATATTTATCCAGCACTTGATTTCATTTGCAAGTGAATGATTCTTATCAAAATTTGCACTACGTAAGTTGAAAAGAATGCTAAAAAGCATGTATCTTTTTGTCTGCATTGTGCATCCACCTAAGGTTGGGAACAAAGTTCTGCAGCAATGCAAGTGTTAAACAAGACAGTTCAGTCTATAATCGCTAGAAACTAATAGCACCTTAACTGGATAATCCTTGTGTCAATAAAGGATATCAGTTCTTAAATGTGCACTCGGGATAAATGTTGTACGTAAGTATCAGCTCGGTTGCACTTAGCTGAAGCGTTCGGAGACAGTGATATCTTCATCCTGACAATGTACTTTTGCTTTAAAACTTTTGGTGTGTTCCAGAAAAAGCTGCAAAGGTAAGTGCTGTTATCATTGGGTGATTTGGCAGCTCAGGGTGATTTGGCAGAGCGGAGCATCTAGCAGAACTACACGAGGAAGATCGGTGTTACTTAGCACTTTACCACAAATGCCACCTTTCCCCTTGAGTAAGGACAGCCTCCCGTGTTTTAGCAAAATATTTATCTTTTTTCCGCTCCACATTCCAAATGAAATTAACAGAAGTAGCCATGCATTTCACTTCTTCTATAGATTTCCATGGCTTTTTTGTAGTGTGTTTTTTTTTTTTTTTTTTTTTTTTCCCAACAGAATGAGATTTCAGTTCTAATTTGGGTAGTCTGTATTCAATCACTGATACATCGGGATGCCCTGGCTGGTGTGTTACACACTGCACACAACTTTTTCTGGGCACTGAAAGAAATATTTTGTCTTGGATTCCTAAATTATTCAATCTACTCCAAAAATCTTTTGCCTGTGCCTTTTTGGTGCAACTTACGAAGAGCAGAGCAGCCCTAGCCATAAGCAGAGCTTCCGTGGAGCGGGCAGCTCATGTTCTTCACTCAGACCTGAATCCAAAATAATTCCCCAGGACATAAAGGCTTTGACTGTAGTCAGATACTTCTGGAGTCTGTATTTCAGTCAGCCCCTCTATCTAAAATCTTGGGTTTTTTTTTCTGTTTATGTATACACACACATATATATTACACATGCCATACCAGGTGTTACTTTCAAGCGGTGAGGTAAATATTTTGCTGAATACTTATAAACCAGTACAAGACCCAACTCTGAAATAATATGAATGTCTCTGCATGTTTTCCACAACTCTTTGGTGCCGGGTGTTTTCTCCGTTTCTCCTTCTGCGCTGACTTCCATCTTCAAGTGCTCTGCACCCAGCCTGATGGAAATCCAGGAGGGTTACTTGCTAATCAGAGAATATTGCATGGGGTGAGATGAATGACCATATATGAGACTTACCAGCAAACAGAAATGCAATTCATCCTGAGCAAGGGAACAGGAAGTTTCTGTGCAATACAGAGATTAAATAATGGTTAATTCTTGTGCTGAACTTTCGGACAGGGATGAATTTTATGCTATCTCAAAATCAAATATATGGTAGGGGCTGACTAAATCTTTGCCACTTACGGCAGAAATTAAGGGCACAAACCTATTCATCTCTCCATGGATTTTGAACCTGAAAACTGTCTTATCCCTTGCTTGTAGGTGGGCTTTCGTTCTTCAAACTATTAATGGATGGAGTGCCTCCGCATATCATTGATTCATATATGCGCGAAGTACAGGCAGACAAAACTGAGGGGAAGTGAGAGTCCGACCGCAGTGCTTCCTGCCACCGCGCTGGGAATGGGCAGCCAGAGTTACAGCATTTTAGTCCTTGCAACAACAGAACAAACGTGTGGCTGGAGATTTTCTTTTCTTCTTGTTTTTTTGTTTTTTTTTTTTTTTTTCCCCCTCATTTGTCGCTCTGTTTTCCCTGCCTGCTCTTACTGAAAAGAAAGAATACGCATGGATTGCTTTGGGATTGAAATGAAATGAACTGAAGACAACACACTCTTTGTAATGTTCAGCTTTATTTTCTGTTTGATATTGTGTTTTGATTTTTTTTTAATGAGGAAAGAGGAGAAGCTGTGTACGAGGAGGCAGTCAGTTTGTACTGGGTGGTACAATGCAAACCTTTCGCAGACTGAAGGTACAAGGATTTGTCAGTAGATGTGCAATAAGACCTTTGGAATACATACCTCTTTGATAATGTATCTTATCCATCTGAGAATTGCTTAACAGAATATGGTTTTACTAGAAAGTAATTAATTCACATGTACTTAATGATCACTTAATCTGAACATATCTTCCTTTAGAAGTTTTGATTTCCTAAATCCAACTCACCAGTCTCTCAACTGAACTGAAATTGTTTTATTTAATGTACAATAAATATGAAGTGTTTAAGATCTAACAAGTTGTTGTTTACTATCTTTTTCTCATCTCACCATATTTCGTATGTAATTGATGCATAATGCAGAGCAAGAACTTGAGCACACAGCACCAACTGGGTCAGTCTCCTGAGCCACCAAACTCACCCTTTAACATACCTAAGACTGAGTGCAAATGAGAGATGCTATCAGATACGTGCAGTTTAATATCTGTATGTTTTCAATATTTAAAATACTATAAATTCCATCGGTAACAGCTTTGATCAGTTTGGACCAGTCACTTTTCTGAGCAAGTCACGCAGTCTTTACAAGTATCAGAGGAATAGAGTTACAGCATATCATTTGTGAGGTTATGGTGCAAGGCCAAAACGCCATAGCTAAGCTAAAATTGCTACATTAATTCTCCAGCTCTACGGTCATTACCCTCCAAGAGAACTGGATACCAGCAGTATTTCAGAAGTCTGATCATCTGTAAGGCTCTGGCAAACTCCGACGCATGCGAGACAGAAGGTCACATGCAATTTGACCAGCTTGCCAATTCCCTATCAACTTCTCATTTATTTACCTGCCTGTTCTCACTCCAGCTGTGGAGATAAGATAGGTTGTGTGGTTATTGATTACTGATCAATCCTCAGTTATGGCTTGTGAAGAATCCACTAAATCCAGTAGTACCATTGTGTACATTGATGTCAGCACGTTTCCAAACACCTAGAAGTTAATAATTATGCATGAATACATGAATTTGTTACTATGCATCACCACTGCTGGTGAATTTGTATTTGAATTACCACTTCTTTCACTTGGGGATCTGAATGTCTTTTTTTTTTTTTTTTTTTCCTGTAAATTTTATTCACTCTGAGGACTCTTTTCTTCCTTTTCTCCTTCCTATCACTTTCCTCAGTCCTCCCTCTACGCAAGGAAGCAGTTCTCTACTTCCAATGATTTTGGACACTCCCCATACAACATTTCAACCTACTCCTCTCAAAACCATATCCCTCTTTTCTATTCACACCTACACATCAAGGAAAGCAATATGAGTATTAGGAAGAAAATTCCACACGTGATTATTTACTTATCTTCATTTTGTATCTCACCAGTCAATTGGGTTTTCCTTCATCTGTTTTGATGCCTAAAAGGCACGGGGAGAGGGTCAGTTTGAATATATGCCACATAGCTTTAATCTCATCCTTCCTTTGAAATAGTATGAGTCTAATTGGATATATTATGGTCAGCACCAAAGCTATAGCTGCAGTGAGGTTGTGCTTTTCACTAAACAAAGGAATACATGCATAGCCAGTTTACAGTTCATTTATTTGCCTGCTCTGCCTTAACATACCACACACAATAACCTGGTGGCCAGCTATAAACCTCACCTTCCACTGGGGCTTCGGCGATGGAATTAGCTTCTCTAATTTGTGCCAGACAGCAACTGTGCTGGCAGACAAGCTGAACTAAGCTACTTTTCACTGAGTGAACACTAAGTGTGATGTTCCATGGCCTTAACTCCTCCTGAGTTGCATTGCCTGACATTTACCATTGAGTGCGATGCACCATGACAGCAAGAAATAATGGGTATCTGGCCATAGCTGGAATTTAGATGAGCATTAGTATGCTGTAGGTTCATACTTCCATTGGTGAAGATAACCAGTCAAGCCTTTGGATTAAGGATTGCTTGAATATGACTTTAAGAGGAATTACAGCATTGAGTGGGATAGGAAAGGAAATTCTAGCAGGTTGCAGAATCTTCAATAGAGAATAAATTTTTGATTTATGATGTGTCACCTGGTGGAATTCTCCAAGGATGGTGTTCAACAGATGAAGGGAAGTGACGAACAAGATTAATTTTGAAATCTGACGTTAATACCAGCTCATGTGAAGGAAATATTGCAAAAACTACAGGCAAAATGACCAAGAGAGAATGGGAGCAGCAGGAGAATATCATGCTGCAGAAGACATGGCCCAGTGATACCAAGAGGAAATTTCTCCCAGGTATGCTCACATGGGATTTACAGGAAATCAGTGACCATGAAAGAGATCTAGGAGTAAAGGGCAGCAAATAAAACCTGGTCATGTGATATAGAGCAACAGCAAAATACAGGAGGTCCAGGAGAAATGAAACTGGCAGTGATTTTATAGCTTATGGCTGTGTTCCCTGAAGTTTAATTATATGTGAAACTAGTTTAGTCTTCAGCTATTTACCTGTTCGCTATTTGCACTCACCATCAACTATTTGGTGTTGAGGTTACAGTTCAGATCTCCATCAGTAGCACAATTTATAAGGATTCTCTTTTCCACTTACTTTCACAACGTTGGTAGAAATTTCCTACTTTTGAAAACTCTCCTTTGATGTTCAGCTTGACTGAAATAGGATAAGGAAAGTTACTGCTTGGAATAAGAAGGCCAACCCATACGTGTACATACACACACATACACAAAGAAAGAGAAATCAAAGTTAATAAAAAGATATGGTACTTATTTTTAAAGAAGCCAGAAGAAAATATTTTGCCCTGCTGGCTTCTTTTGGCTGGCTCTCCTTGAAAGGGCACTTTGAAGTGTAAATGTTTCTGTTACATAAATAAGTATCTTGTCTTAAACACTATCTGCAGAACTCGATAGACTCTCATTTGCATGGAAAGTTCACAGCCAGTTTTCCTCGCTGACAATAATGACACAAGTAAAGAAAGTGGGAGAAAAACAGTGCTTGAATCAAGATATCATGGAACCAAAGAATTGTAAGGACTCGAAATTTATTCTAGACATCACGATGTCCAACCCCCTGCCTAAGCACGTTCCCTAGAGTAGGATCCACAGGAAAGCATTCAGGCAGATTCTGAGTATTTCCAGAGAAGGAGACTCCACAACCTCTCTGGGCAACCTGTTCCAGTGCTCTGTCACTCTCACAGTAAAAGAAGTTCTTACTTGTGTTTGTATGGAACATTCTGTGCCCCAGTTTGTACCCAGTGCCTCTTGTACAACTGCTGTATGTCACCAAAAAGAGTCTGCTCCCATTGACTTGACTTCCACAACCGTAAGTGTTTATAAACATTGATAAGACCCCCCTCAGCCTTCTCTTCCCCAGGCTGAACAGTCCCAGAGCTCTCAGCCTGACCTCGTAAGGGAGATGCTCCAGGCCCCTCATCATCTCTGGCCCTCCGCTGGACTCTCTCTAGAATTTCCCTGTCTTC